ACTTTCCAAATGCAAGTTCCTTTTTTTTTCTTTTTTAAAGTGGGCTCCATGCCCAATGTGGGGCTTGAATTCATGACTCTGAGATCAAGACCTGAGCTGAGATCAAGTCGGACACTTCAGCGATTGAGCCACCCAGGCACCCCAAGTTCTTTTAATTATTACAACCACCTAATAAGATAAGCCACTCTACCTATTTTAAGAATAAGGAAACTAAAGCACAGAGAGGCCAAGTAATCTCCCCAAGTCACACAGCTAACAAACGGTAGAGCTGGAACTTGATTCCAGGCAGACTGACCCCACAGAGGCTATTTCCAACCATGAGCCAATCACATCATGGCTGCTCATCAAGCTACAACTTGGGGTATGAGGGATAAGAACACTTGCTGAATGAGATCAGGGCTTCCAAGGCAAGGTTTTAATATTCTGTTTCCCCCTTTCTGTGACTATCCCTAAATAACCTCATCAACTCACCTAAGGGGCTTTAGAAACAAAGCAATATCTCAAAATTCTGTATCTTCTGGGTATAGGTTTAAAAAGCATCTAAAGGGCTCTTGGACAGATTCAGGAAAGAGACCTTAGGTGGCCCTGGGGTGGGGGGGGGTCAGAAGGCGGCTCCTAGAGAGCTCCCCTCCATGCCAAGCACGGGGTCTCACCTCTGGGCACATGTGCTTTTTACGTTTGGGGGGACATCAGCGTGGGGCACAAAATCAGAAGTGACAGGAATGCAGAGCGTCCTGGGAGTGGGGATTCACGTGACCCTGTGTGGCCAGGCAGCCAAAGCAGGATGGACCCTGGCAGGGACTCCAGAGAGGTACCCGGAGCTTCACGACATTTCCGGAGGAGCTGACACTGGGGCCTAATGTGAACGTAAACCATATTATAAAGCCAGATCCTCGGGACTCCTGGCATTGTAATCATCCTCAGGCTGACAATTCTTGCCTCCAAGAGTATGCAAGGCTGAAGATGAATCACAGGCCAATGTCTGTAGGCTGACCTCCGCGTGCACATCCCCTGAGACAGGGCCAGAAATGAAGACAGGAAGCATTTGACTGAATTGGTTTTCCCATTTTTCATAAGAAACATTCAACCTAATAAGAAATAGCCATACTTTATTGACAATAATAGCTACCCTTTCTTTATTTCCTTACTATGTGCCAGGAAACTCTATCTCTGTTCCTTACAGTAATTCTGAGGCAGAACGATCAGATCACCTTCTTTTTAGAGGAAAATGAGGCTTGGAAAAGTCATGCATTTAGCTCAAGGTTGTACAGAGAGTAAATGTCAGTCAAGATTCTAATCCAGGTCTGTCTGCCTCCAAAATCCATGATTTTTCTATGGTTTTCCAATTTTTCACATTACCATCAACCTTCAATGTCCCCAGAACCAACGGCCTAAATACTCTCTCTCTCATAAACACACACACACACACACACACACACGTGCTTTTTTCAATTTAACTTAAACAACTGGGACGCTAAGATCTTGGATGCCGCCGTGCACCCATCTCTCTCTCTATGCCAGGATCCATAAAATCCAGGAACTGAACCACACGTGCTAAGAATGAGTAAGTTTCTAAGAGAACACATTATTCAGTCCCCTGTCATTTGAAAAGTGACAAGTCCAGGGTCTCAGGGCTGGGCAGGGCCAAAGCTGGGACTTGGCCCCAGGCATGCCGGCCCCTAGCTATGTCCCTTCCAGTGCACCACAGCTCTGTTTCCCGGGGTCAGGGCCAGTGATGATGGACTCATTTCTGGGTGCTGGGAGTACAGAGTTGACAAGGCACATCCCTGGTCCTGAAAGAATCTGAGAAGCTGGTAGATGTGCCGAGACAGTCCACAGATAACTGAAGTGCAGGCAGAAACGGGAAGTGGCGCAGGAGAACAGTCCTATTAGGAGGGATGAATCACGTCCAGCTGGGGGCAATGGGGATCGATGCCATGCAGGAAGAGGGAGGAGGAAATGGACCCATGCTCTGGGTGTACTTGCCAGAAGGTGCTTCATACCAGTTATTTTGCACCAACAACTGCATGAGGCAGACAAGGTGGAAAGACAGAGGCACCTGCCCAAGGTCATACAGCTAATGTGACTTGCATGATCTGGCTCCCATCCCATGTCCTCTCCGTTACAACAAACTTCAAATGCTGTTCTATGGACCCCTGACAGGTTGGGAGTCAGGAGAGGCTAGGTAGGTGGGGCTCGAGCCCCTAAACAAAATTCCACCCCAGAGGCTCTGCTTTGCAAATGTATTTATAGACCGGGGCCCTTCATGAGATTCCTTTTGAAGAAAGGCTATGCTGCTAACAAAACAGAGTTTGAAGACCTGCACTCCCATGTGCTACCTGGCCAGTGAATGCGGGCAGGTCTTGGAGCCGGGCAGGGCAGGGAGGGCACGCGATCCATGCAGAAGCGCAGTGAGGGACAGGCTAAGCAAGCCGACTCTGGACTTCCCTCACTCTGGAGTGATGCTGCCTGCATTCAAAATCAGGCTGTGCACCTGCCTAGCTTTGAGACCTCAGGTAAGGCACTCCTGAGCCTCAGCTTCCTCACATTCAAAAGAACAGGGATCATACTGGTACCTACTTCCTAGGGCTGTTGAGAGGATTACGTACTCAAAGATAGGGAAAGCGCATAGCACAGTACCTGGCATTTAGCACAGTGTCATTCTTATTAACTTGTTGGAAATAGCAAGGCTAGTCAGAGGAGATAAAACAGCAAGAAAAGAAATATCATTAAGCCATACAAAGAATTCTCAGGGAAACGAAGAAATCCTCACTGTCCCCGAAGAACAGCTGTGGTTCTGAGCTCTGCCTTGCATTCTCCTGGTCTTGATAAATATGGGCTGTGAATCAGCAGGACACACACCTGAGAGACAGGGAGGTTTCGACACCTCCGTCTGCTGAGTTCCCATCGCGCTACTCATCAGCTGGTTCGGCAAGAAGCTCAGCAGGGTCTGGGCTTCAAGTGAGGAGGTCCGTCACTCCAAACCCCCAAGCTAATTTACAGCCACTGCTCAGAGGAGACGGCCCCAAAACCCTGGGCCATCCCCCTAAGCTTGACTTGGCTCTTGAATCAAAAGGCCTAGAACAGAGGGAGGCAGCTGTATCAGCGGAGTCAAGCCCTAGAAGCTTCCTTCATTGGCTAGATGAGGCCTCACCTTGGGCAGAACTGCAAGGCATAGTGGGATCCCAGGCCCCTTTCTGTTTCCTTCCATCAAAGACTCTGCCAATGGATTAAGCTCCCAGTGAAAGTTTTGATTAAGCCTATGGGATTTTCATCTGTCTTGTTCACAGCCATACCCAGCTCGGCAGCCCATCCCTGCAAATGAACGAACGCCCGTGACATTTGGGGTGCTCTAGCTCCGCATCTTCATGAGACAAACAGAAGCAACCAGCCACACAGATTCCACGGTCATTCACTGAACAAACCAGCTGTGTGGGATCTTCCTGCCACCGCTCTGCTCTCCGTTCCCCCACCTGTCACTTAGCTGATAACACCACCTCGGGGTCTCTAGCAGTTTCCCTTTGGAAAGGTTTGACCTTTTCTCTCTCCTGGAGGAAGGGGGGGCGGTCATTTGCTACAGAGCACTGAGCAAGAAGGTCAGCTCGGGCCGAGCACACAACTTGCTCCTTTCATGCTCAGCCTGCCAGAAACGAAAATGTTAGAGCTAGAAGCACCTGTGGAGATCACTCCTCACGGAAGAGGAGAAACCAAAGTCCTGAGACACCAGGCAAGGAGCTCAAGCTCACAGAGCTGGCTGTGGGGGACATCAGGAGACTCGGCCTCTCAACAGAGCTCTCTGTATGGCACGTTATCTAGGAGCCTCTCTCTGCCTTGAGCAGGTAAGGAAATTTTGGAAAGTGCCCCTAAATCCTGGATTCTCTTTCTATATATTAAAAACACAAAATATACCCACTCTTTCTCTCTCTCTCTATACACACACACAGATACAGATTATATATATTTAGATATGGATATATCATATATATACATATTCATAGATGATATTAGAATACGTAAAAACTATTCTAAAGGGCCAAATACATTTACTGATGAGTTTGGATAAGCAACTACTCCCTTTACGTTAAATTCACTTTTTATAGAACAGGGACAACTGGAGCTGGTGGGGGAAAGTCAGAAATCCTGAGTGTGAGAAAGGGGAAAATGTGTAATTTACAAAAGCATACCCAATATTATTATTGCTTTAATTTTTTTTTGGCATTTATTTAATGTGCTTGGAGATGTGATAGTGAAAGAGGGCACTGAGACAGGACGTTCACTGAAAGGGAGTACGGCTTAAATAAAAAGATCCGGAAACCCTCCACCTTAAGACAAGGCGCCTTCCATCTCTCGAGGTTAAGTAAGTGCCTGTCTGAGGTCAGTGGTGGTTTACGTGCTCCTCACGTGGCATCATGAGCACCTTATGCACCTGCAGGGGGGTGGTCCTAGGGTTTGCTGCTGACCTACCGAAGGGAATTTATGACATCGAGGATGTAAAGATACCGAGGGAAGGCAAGTTCCCAGACACAAACAAAGAGCATTCTTGGAGAGACAGAAACCAAAGCTGAGGCTGTCGGTACCAGGCGTTTCCTTGGGGCAGCACCCCCGGAGCCCCCCACACTGGGCTGCCCTCAGCTCCAGCCCCTCCTGGGGTAAACCCCGGCAGACTCAATCTGGCCCCCCATTTCAGGGATTTCGGGCTGCAGGAGCTGCCCCTCCATGGAGCGACCGCTCCCCCCTTCCCATGATCGCCCCGGGAGGCCAGCGCAAAGTTGGGGGACGGCTTCGCTCCGGTCCCATTTCCCTCCCGCAAGTGGCAGGTTCTCTCTCGTTCGCTCTGACAGGGCTGAGTGGCTCCGAGAAGGACTCCAGCTCCGAAAACCCTTGCCCTGCGAGCGGGGGCAGAGGCGCGGGGCACGGCCACTGCCGGGGCGAGGCGGGCGGACACCGTCGGGGGGGGGCGCGGGCGACGGTCGCCGGCGGGGGCGCGGGGGTCCACTTACCGCAGTGCGCCTGGAAAACCTGTGGCTTGACGGCCTGATTGCAGGCGCTGCACACCACGAGGTAGAAGTCGTCGTGTGCGGGGTAGTGGCCGAATAAGTGCATATCTGTGGGGAAAGGAAAACAGGGTTTTTGAGAAGGTCATGAAGGCTCAGGAGGCCTAGTTTCCTCTCGCCACGTCCTTGGGGACAGTGTTTCGAGTGAGACGCACAGCAAGGCAACAAGCTCTCCTAAAGGGACAAGGTTTGTGCGGTGCCACCTCCCGGCCCCCGCCTCGCCTCACCCCTGGAGGTGCACCGCCAGCACGGGGAGGGCCCCGGGGTCCCACGCTGACGGCTTCCCGTGGCCCCAGAGGGTGCCCAAGGGTGGGCCGGCACCCGACGGGGGGCTCCTCTAAACCCATTCCAACTTACGCGAGGTCTCTCAGGTGGACTGAGGTGCAGGGCGCAGAGTGCCCTGGAGAGCCGGTGCCCGTGTTTCCCCACCGCCTGGGGGACACCCCATGGCCCGGGAGGCCTCCGAACACGCGGTTTGCTCACTGCAATCGTTACCTGTTACTCATCTGACTGCCCTGCAGCGAGTGTGCCCAGCACCGGGCAGGCTGTGGGGGACACCGGATGGATGCCATCGAGGGCCCTGCTCTCCCGGACCTTACGGTGACAGGACACAGAAAAAGTTATACCCAAGTCCTCACGTGGCTGTGGGGCACGTGCTAAGGAGACGTATGGAGGCGTCCCTTGAGGGCGCGTGGGCCCAACCTGGTCAGGGGCCTGAAGAGGCTTCCCTGAGCAGTGGGTATTCGGGCGGGGACCTCAGGATGTGTGGGGGTTACGCAAGGGCTGGGGGGCGGCAGGGAAAGTTCAAGGTCCGCCAAGTGCTGTGGATCGGAGGAGCCTCTTGGCTGGAACACAAGGGGAGAGCCCAGAAGCTGTAGGCCTTGTGGACCAAGTAAGGATTTTGAACCTGATTTTAAAAACAAGGGAAGCGGGGATCCCTGGGTGGCTCAGCGGTTTAGCACCTGCCTTCGGCCCAGGCCGTTATCCTGGGGTCTCGGGATCAAGTCCCACATAGGGCTCCCTGCATGGAGCCTGTTTCTCCCTCTGCCTGTGTCTCTGCCTCTCTCTCTCTCTGTGTCTCTCATGAATGAATAAACAAAATCTTTAAAAACAAAAAACAAAACAAAACAAAAAAACCAAGGGAAACTGGGCACCTGGGTGGCTCAGCTGGTTAAGTGTCTGCCTTCAACTCAGGTCACGAGCCCGGAGTCCTGGGATCGAGTCCCATCTGGCTCCCTGGTTGGCAGGGAGTCTGCTTTTCCCTCTGCTCATGCTCTCTCTCAAATAAATAAGATCTTAAACACACACACACACACACACACACACACACACACACACACACACACCCAAGGGAAGCTGCTGAAGGTTTTTTGGCAAAGGAGTGACATGCTGTTAAAAAAAAATCAGTTACGTGGCCTAAGGTACACGAGTGCATACATCCACACAAAGCCTCATATACACAGGTCCGTGGTAGCATTGTTCACAACAGCCAAAAAGTGGGAACAACCCACATATCCATCAACCGGTGAATGGATAAACAAAATGTGGTGTAAGCAGATGGTGGACTACTATTCAGCCACGAAAAAGAACAAAGAGCTTACAGAATCTGCTACAACATGGATGAAACCTGAAGACATTATATAAAGTGAAAGGAGGCAGACACTAAAGGCCACATATTGTACGATCCCAATTGTCCAGATCAAGCAAATTTATAGACACAAAAATTAGATTTGTGTCTGGCTTGGGCTGGAGGACCTGGAGGGGGCTGAGGGGGCTGCTGCTATAAGGGGTTCAGGATTTCTTTTTGGGGTGACAGAAATGTTCTAGGACTGATAGTGGTGAAAGCTGTACACTCTCGTGAATATACTACAAACCACCGGCTCGGACACTTTACATGGGTGCGTTGTACAGTATGTGAAAAAAAGTGGTCAGAAAAGAAAGTTCCTTAGCTTCTGAGGAAACACGGTCACACCTCCCCATGCACCTCGGGGTACACACGGAGCCCTGGGGGCACCTGGCCTCACCTGCTCTCAGCCCACCAGCTCTAGGGTTGCTCCAGAATCGAGCAGTAGGCTTGGGCCACTGGCACGGCTGACGGAGGAATTAAGGCAGTGAATGCATCAGGCATGTTTTCTGTCACAAACCTACTGAACCCTCCTACCCCCAAGCCCCCAAGTTCTCATTTTCTAGACTTAACCTATGTCTTCCCTCCAAACTCAGCAAACCCACAAAGACAGCTCCCCCAGCTACACAGGGAGGCCACAGGCTGAGTTAGTTCCCCATGAGGTGGGGACAGCTCGTCTATAACCCAACGGATGCTCTCACAGGGGCGCCCTCCGCTCTGCGCTCTCAGGGCAGCCCCAGTGCTCAGAGAGAAGGGGAGTAGACACACTTGTCACCGGGCAAGGAGTTGAGGCCCACGCTGCCCCAGGGGAGGAGCGTGGCTGCGAGAGTGATGCCGGCTCTGGCCACGGCAGGTCCTCCTCGAGCTGCAGGTGCATGGGGGCCCGCTTGCCCCCTTAGAGGTGATGGTGGTGGGGGTAGAGGGCTGGGGACGCAGGCCCTCGGTGAACTTGTCACTTGTCAGTAGCCCTGGGTGCGGCCTGTTATTTCCCCTCTCTAGGACTCGCCTCTGTTTCCACTTCTGACTAAGACTTGTTACCGGTGGGGAACGTTATTAGTCAGTGCCTGGTGGGCGGGAGGCTGGAGGCAAGAGAGGCCCAGAGAGAGAACCCAACTGTGACAAGTGTCCTGAAGCATGAGGAGGCCCGTGCTGGGCCTACCCAATGTGTCCAGGGCCCCTGGTTCAAGCACCGCAGTGTGGAGAGGACATCTGTTGGTCCTTAACTACCGATACCTCTCGGTTCTACTCTTTATCATAGGTTGCTTATTTTTATAATACATGTTCTTTTTTCAATAACAAATGTGATCCATGTTCTATGAAGTAACATTTGAAAACTGCAAAAAAGCCAGAAGAAATTAAAAAAAAATCACTGGCAATCTTTATTAACGTTTTGCATCTCATTTAGATTCAGTCACATTTTACGTCCGGGAACATGTGAAACCAGGAGCCAGGTGGGGCTAAGACTTACTTATTGATTCAACAAGCATCTACTGAGGGGCCTTACATCCTTTCTGCAATAGATCAAGCTACAAAGGAACAGAAGAAATTTATGAATTAAAAAAGCATTAAGAAAAATGTCTTGTGCGCCTCCTCTGTGTGGGAAGCTGTGCTGAGTCTGGGGTGGGGGTTGAGACCACAGGGTGTGGGGAGTGAGCGTGCCTCTGCACCTTTGCGGTCTCAGGACTCCCACACCTTCTATAATCCTTCAGAAATCTGCAGAGCACCCCTACCACACCCCCAAGGTACACACACTCCTCTCCGGTCATGAGTCAGGCTAGCCAGAAGTTGGCCACCGGGGTATGTACACACATGCGTGTGTGTGTGTGTGTGTGTGTGTGCGTGTGCATTCCCCTTCAGGCCCTCTGCTCCACTGAGACCCTTCCTGGTTTCCCCTAGAGCAGTTTCAACCTTGCTCATGTCTGCTCACAGTGTGTCTCCCACAGAAAGTGAAGGACCTGCCCGCTGGCCGGGTTATTCCTCAATTGGCCGACCTCTGAATCTCCTCTACAGGCCGCCCAGGTTCTGCAAGGCTGGCAGGTGGGGAGCAAGGTAAGGGCACTTGGCCTCTCAGAAGACCACCGCCTCACGCAGCCTGGCGATCACAGTCAGTGTGCTGTTTGCCTGGGGATGGAGGAAAGTCAGGAAGAACTGAAAACTATTATGCCGGCACGATGCTAGGTGTTCTATTAATTAACCCCCCCTCCCCCCAACAACACACTCGGTGCACAGTTACAAAGAACAGCAGTGGTGTGCTGGCGTGGGCTTGTACCAGCATGTCCTTCCCCAGCTCGTTCAGTGCTTTCAGGGTGGTAGCTTGGCATCAGCCTTGGTGGAAGTATTTACACCATGGAACGGGGGCACAGATGCCAATCAGGTCTCTACCAGAGCATCACTGGATAAAGATGAGAAAACGGGGAAAAGTGAAACCACCTGTAATGAGACCACCCAGGGGTGACCACCACCGATGTGTTAATGTGGATCCTTCTGAACTTTCTGATGTGATAACATTTTCTTGATTAGTCCTCAAAATGAATCTATAAAGTTGTCATTATCTCCACTTTCCAGGCAAGGAAAACAAGGTGATTTGCTTGATGTCCCTGGGCTGTGATTTATAAACTGGGCTGAGATGCCAGGACACTCTTGAGTCTAAAGGCAATGCTCCCTCCTCAGCAAAAGGCTGTTTTCCTTCATTCACAGAGCAAAATCCCATTTCACAGATGAAGAAACCAGCTTGGGGAGGGTATCCTGGATGACTAATAGGCTTTCCCAAATTATTGGCATGACCACAGGCCTGGGGTCAGAAGGAGGGATTTTTCATACAGTGCTCATTGCCATGCAACCTCAGGGAAGGTGCCCAACTTTTCTGAGCGTCAGTTTCCTCATCTATGAAATGGGGCTTACAGTTCATGGCGTTGCTGTGATGGCTCATAAAAGGCTGTATTTTCTTCCACCAGGGATCTGGGGGAGAGTGTGGAGAAAGCCTTCACCAAGGTCATCCCTCTGACCTTCCAGAATTAACTAGGTCTTTCTCCACTGGGAGAGTCCTTGCTCCAGCCAATACATCCTTTGTGTCTCCCTCATGATCACTCAAGCAGACCTCCTGGGAAGCCTGAGGGTCTCTCCCACCTGCAGAATTTGCACATGTGCATGGACTGATGAGGGCTGAAAGCTTTTGGGAGGGCTCTCTCTCTTTCTCTGGCTGTGGCTGGATTCCAAGGAAGCATGTGCACAAATATGAGACTTTGCCCAGCTTTAAACATGGGGTTCAACCATCTTCCAAAGAGAGAAAGCCAAACCACTCCATTCTGCCTCATTTTGTCCCTGCAAATAGGTCAACTGTACATCAGAGAGAGTGCTAGCCACCATGGCACTATCGCAGAGGTGACTTTAGCATGCCCCTTGCCTGACAACAGGTGGGGAGGGAGCA